AAATAAATAAAAATAAAAATAAAAAAATGAAAAAAAAAATAAAATAAAATAAAATAAATGGAGAGAGATACTGGGTTAATGGATTGGGGTATACTCCAATTGGCATATTGGTTAAGAGGCCAATATTCCCCAAACTGATCTATCAATTCAATAAAAATTCCAGCAGGTTTTTTTTTTTGTAGAAAATGACAAGTTGATTCTAAAATTCATAGGAAAGTGCAAAGAACATAGAATAGCCAAAACAACTTTGAAAAAGAACAAAGTTGGAGAACTAACACTACCTGATTTCAAGATCTATCATAAATCAACAGTAAAGAAGAGTCTAGTGTGGGTGTAAAGATAGAAAAACAGATCAATGTAACAGAATAGAGTGCCCAGAAAAAACCTACACGTATAGGGACAAAGGTGCAAAGGTAATTAAGTGGAGAAAATACAGTCTTTTCAACAAATGGTGCTGGAACAATTGGATATCCATATGCAAAAATAAAAAAAGAACCTTGATCCATATCTCACATCATATACAAAAATCAACTAAAAATCGATCATAGACCTAAATGTAAAACCTAAAACTATGAAACATCTAGAAGAAAACATAGGAGAAAATCTTTGCATTTGGGTTAGGAAAAAATTTCTTAGATATGATATCAAAAGCACAATCCATAAAAGAAAAAAAATGGATGAAATGTAGTTCATCAAAATTTAAAATGTCTGCTTTTCAAGAGATACTTTAAAAGAATGAAATGACAAACCACAGACTTGGAGAAAATATTTGCAAAGCATATATCTGAGAAATGACCTGTATCCAGATTATATAAAGAACTTTTAACACTGAATAAAATGAAAACAATAAGAAAATGAGCAAAAGATATAAACAGACATTTCACCAAAGATATTCAGATAGCAAATAAGTACATGAAAAGATCCTCAGCATCCTTAGTCATTAGGGAAATGATGAAACCAAAAAATTCTCCAATGGCTTCTCTTCTCACTTCACAGTAAAAGCCAAAACCCCTTCAATGATCTACAAAGTCCTCTATGGTCCACCCGCCCCACTTCATCTCCTACTACTCCTCTCCTTGCTCCAGCTACACTGATCTCTTTGCTGTTCCTTCAAGATCCTGGCATGTTCCTATCTCAGGGCCTTCGTATTTGTTCTTTTTTCTGCCTAAAAACATTTTTCTCAGATACCCATTCAGCTCAATCCAGGCCTTTACTCAAATGTCACCATTTCAGTGAGGCCTGCCCTGAACACCCTAAAATTGTAAAAGCCCCTCTCCACACACTTCTTCTCTTTCTTCTGCTTTGTTTCTCCTTAGCATTTGGCACTAGCATACTAAATATTATACTCATTTATCTTATTTAGTGTATGTTTCCTGTACCAGAGCTCAAAGAGGGCAGGGATACCACACTTTGGTTTCCCCAATGTTTAGCATATAGTATGCACTCAAATATTAAATAAACAAGTGAATCATGGTATTTTATCTTAATTCACAGCCTAGAAGCAATGGCTTAGCTGAGCAGTCCATATAGAACCTTGACTCGGGGTTATGCCAACTGAAGAGTTCTGAACCACAATAAAGAGAGCCTGGGAAATACAGAGCCCCAGCACTCACCTGACAGGCTGTACTTGAGGTCATTCAGCAGAGCGGTGGTCGGTGCCTCAGGGGCAGGAGAAGGAGGCTCACAGGCATTTAGGTCCTCATCTTTCATTTTATCCATCTTGATTCTTTCTGTATTTAGACTATGCTTACAAAAAACAACACTCAGGTAAACTTGTTTTTTGTTGCTGGTACCATACACAGATTTTGCCACACATCAATGTTAAGGATTCTGGACCTCCATTTCATAAAGGACCCATTCATCCTCTGTTACTTTAATTTGGAGATACCATCTAAAGATGGAAGAAAACATCCATCTATTTCTTCTCACTTCTATTACCTAAGGCTGTTTTAGGAACTATGCAGCTACTGAATTAGAGTTAAGGCTTTCTACCCTAACGTGTACATTTGAGTAACACCATAACTAAGAAAATTATTCCATCATACCTAACAGAAGATGCCTTTTCTCTCACTGCACCTTGTTCCATTTCATCCAGTAGTTCCACTGTAAAATAATCAAATGGTGTCCAACAGTTTCCCATCTGAAAGCAATCAACAAACCGCCCTACCTCCCCCAACCTACAGTTTGACCACGTACCACAAACAGTAATTGGAAATGAAATGTTAGTCCATAAAGGCCTTCATCAGCCAGCAATAAATAGAGCAGAAAAGACTTAAGTACTGAAGACTCCTAATATTATGCCCCTACAAAGCTTCCTTGGTCATTCAGCAGGATTAGGAACCTCTCTACATGTTCCTTTTACCCTTTCATCCTTTTTGTTGCAGGGCACCTTTTTGGTCATGCGGATCGGTTCTAGAGATATCTTTTCTTTCCTATTCATTCCCATCCTAAGGCACTTTCCCCCAGACAATGTACTGTTTGGGGGTTTTCTCTTAAACCATTCACAGATTTGCGCCTTTCACTCTCACAGGCTGGTGCATTAATAGTTCAGTGACATGAAAGGTAATAAAAGCTAGACTGGAAATCACAAAAGAAATATGAGAGAAACATTCCACAGAGATTCTGAAACTATTTATTTTTAACTTAACAGTGCAGGGAATGTGAGGAAATATTGTGTTTTACTGAGTCTCAGATGCACATTTTAAACAGCTCTGAAATTGAATATGATTCATAATAAGTGCACACAACAGTTTATTGGCAGCTTCTTTTTCTTTCTTAGGGTGGGAAAAGTAATAGTGCACTTTATAATTAATGGCATCTTAGATCCAATTAAGTACACTTAGGAACTTTTCAGGGAAACAGCCTCTCAGGGGCCACTATGTTTCAAATGTCTCTTTCCCCTGCACCATCTAGAAGTGTTGAGTCTGGGGAAAAGAAAGTGAAAATCACTAAAAACACTGATTAGTCAATTATTATCCTTCATCTTGATAATTCTTATTCAAGGTGCTTTCCAGGGAGACCCCTCCATGGCTGATTGAGTAACAGAGCAAAGAAGGAGAAGGCCATCCTTTGAGCTTAAAAATTATGAACAAAGGCCAAGTCCTGAAAAAGAAATTTAGGAGGAGATGAAATCCATGTGTACAGATTACAAAGCTGGTTAGTGGTCAGCCTTCTCCTGAGTAGGGACATGGTAGTGGTGATTCCTTCCCTTCTCTTTACAAACCCATCCACAGCCTGGCTTTGTCCCAGTCCAGAGCTCTGCTCCACTGCAAAGGCTAATAGTTAAAACACAATTAAGAATCCCACTACTACAACCACCATCACCACCATTACAAAAAGGTGTTTGTGGGACAAAGAGTGTTTGGAGTAGTGTATTCAGTGAGAACGGACAGTTAGATAGCCGGTTGGACTTGTCTGCTTTGAAGTAGGTCTGGACTGGCAGTCACCAATTTGGCGAGATTTTCATTTCTTCCTAAATTCTACTTCTCTCACAAAACCAAGTAATCTTTCAAGCAGCAGTAACTTCTTATTTACAGGAGTCTTTTCCTTTCCTCACATCTGCCCCAATGGTAAGAAAGGTACAGCTCTACAAGGTCCCAGACGTCCCATTCTCCCACACCCTCTCCACCCCTCACTGATCTTGACTCCTCCTTGGAAGGCTTTCTTCTGCTTTTGAGTTCTTGAAAGCAAGAACAGTTCTTGCTCCCAACCCTTTTCTCTTATCCCATTTGGTTTATCTGAAGCACAATGACCAGATGCACTTCTATATCTACTCTTTAGGTAAACAATTGGACCTACTTTTGCTAAAGGGCTTTTGCCGGCAGAAATAAAGAATAGGGCTGCTTCCTGCAATTCCAAAATTCAAAAAGCTCTGAAAACCAAAAATTTTTTGTAACTCATTTGGCAGCAAAACCTGAACTGACATACTATTTATAGTCCTATTTTATTCCACTTAGTATGATTATCCACATGTTTCTCTGCAGAAATGTTTTATTAAACAGTGCTGCCCAGATGCGCTTGAGGTGTTATGCAATATGAACAGTATATACCCCGTGTTAGGCTTTCCAAAAATCCAGAACAATTCTGGATTCTGAAACATTTGGCCCCAAGGTTTCTGATAAGGGCCTGTGAATGTAATGTGAACCTGTAGTGTTCAACTTGTTTGCTGAGCAAGACAATTCCTTTCTGCTCAGATTCCTGACTCTGCCTGCTGGCTGAGTCTCTAGTAATGAGCACCAGCACAGTGTAAAACCAAGATGATTAAAATTCTCTAAGACTATTCTGCTCACAGTACCACCAAAACAATAAGATAAGATACCGACTTTAAGAGTTCATAAATGCAATGTTAAAGGCAAGATACCATCTCATTTTTGTTTTTTCAAATACTGGAACAAGGCAGAGCAGTGAGGTCACTACTTCTGCAAACCCCAATACCAGCATTCAGGGAACAGGAAGTTCTCACCATTCACAATCTCATGCCCAAAAAACATCTTCACGCCTGGGACACTTTGGCCAGTCTCCACATTCTTCACTGTTATAGAAAACAATTCATTTGGTTAATAAAAAATAATAGTCCCTAAAACTATAAGAAAATGTGATGCATCTCAAAAGTGCCCAAATCTGAGTTTTATAAAAATCCCCAAATTATTTTCCCCAAGGAATGAAAAGTTGATAATAAATTACAAAGCTATAGCCTTAAAACAGGTAGTATAAAGAACAGAGGAAACTCCAGAATGGTCAAAGAGAAATCAAAAAGGCAGTAGTACACTGAATTTAAACTTCTAAGAATACTCTAAGGCCTTTGGGGCTAAGGGCTATCTATTTATTATATTTCTATTGATTTTTACCCCACCTAACTCCAAAAAAGATTTTAAGGCAGCTGACTACTTCCAGAGTCCACACCCTGTTTCATGTCATGCTTTTTGTTGTTGTTGTTAGTGCAGTTGAGTCGATTCCAACTCTGAGCAACCCTGTGCACAGCAAAGTGGAACCCTGTCCGGTCTTTTTGCACTAGCCTCTCATCTTCTGGCGCTATATCAGCTAATGCTCTGCCGCTATTCATACAGTTTTCATGGCCAATTATTTTGGAAGTGAGTGGCCAGGTCCTACTTCCCAGTCTTAGTCTGGAAGCTTTGCTAAAACCTGTCCACCATTGGCGACCCTGATGATATTTGAAATATTGGTGGCATAGCTTTCAGCATCACAGCAACAGGAAGCCGCCACAGTATGATAACCAACAGATGGGTGGTGTGGTTCCCCGACTGGAAAACGAACCAGGGCCCTAACAGTGAGAGTGTGGAATCTTTTTTTTTTTTTTTGCTGAGGAAGATTTGCCCTGAGCTAACATCTGTGCCAATCTTCCTCTATTTTTCATGTGGGTCGCTGCCACAGCATGTCCGCTGACAAGTGGTGTAGGTCCATGCCTGGAGACCAAACCTGGGCAGCCAAAGCAGAGCACACCAAACTTAACCACTAGGCCACAGGGCTGGCCCCCAAGAGTGCGGAATCTTAACAACTAGACCACCATGTCATGCTACCTGCTCAAAACTATTAATTGTCAGGGAAAACAATCCAACTCCTGGCCCAAATACAGGGCTCTTCTGTGAGTAGGTAAGAAGTTTGGATGTCACTTCTACAACACGGTGTCATTTTTCTAGATGGAGTGCTCACATGAGCTGTGTATTTCCTCATCTCTCAGCAATCCAAAATAATTAAGTTTCATTCTCACTATTCAACTGAATACCTTCTTACTGAGGTCAAAGATCACCAACTGCCTATTTGTCAAATCCAAAAAAAGCTCACAGTCTTACGATACTCGGCTCCCGTGCATGCTTTGACAATAGTGTTCTCTCTTCTTCTTTGGCTTACAGGGCATTCTTCGTGTTTAGTTCTTTTCCTACTAATTACCTAGAGCTACCATACTGAGAGCCAGGCACTATGCTAATTATTTGCCTACATTTAATTTTCCAGTAACACAATGAGATAGGCACGTCATTATCTCCATGATGGAAGAATCTGAGGCTCAGAAAAGTTGAATAACTAGCTCAAGGTCATACTGCTAGTAAAAGACAGAGTCAGAATTTAAGCCCAGGCCTCAGTGATTTCAATACGCATTTTGTAACCTTGTTATACTATCTCCCTGATTTGCTCCTTCCAGTCTCCTTAGCTCCCTCTACCACGTCTGCTTGCCCCCTACACCTTAGTTGTCCCCAGGCTTATGTTCTTCATCCTTTTTCCTTCTCCTTGAATGATCACATCCACTTCCTAGTTGTCCTGACATCCATTCTTTCCCCAGAATGGATTATTTCTCTAAGCTCCACTCTCATTTTCAACTTACTAATAGCAGACTTACTGTAATATTTTCAAACTGAAATCATTATCTTCTCCCAGTAACTAACAAATCCGCTCCTCTTCCCATTTCTATCAATAAATAACAGTACTAAACACCTAATCTTCTGAGTCATAAATGTAGGAGTCATTTTCCATTGCTCTTTTATAACCTAATTGATTACTAGGTTGCTTATCTAATCTCCTAAGTATTTCTACAATCTGTCTCCTCTTCTCATGCTTTGCCGAGCCTTGGCTCCAACACCATCATTCCCCTCTACCGGGTCCCTTGATTGTCAATAGTTCCCGTCTATTCTCCTTCATGAGTTTTTCCCTACATTAATCCTTCCTTCATACTGCTGTCATAGTGATGTCACTCCTTGCTTTGTCCAGAAAGCACATAAAATTAGGAAACAAGTGTAAAGAAATACATTCAACCTCTTTAGGAATATTTTCTAAACATGCAAAAATGAAATATCATTTTTTGCCTATAAAACTAGCAAAAATTAAGGAAAGAGACATATCAGCAATTTAAAAAAATCCAATGCTAGATTATTTACTGTAATTCACTTATACATTACTAGTAGCAAAGTAAAAAGCCACAATCCTTTTGAAAAACTATTTGGAAATATGCATCAAAATGTTTAAAATATGCAAAACTTTCACCCAGTAATTTCATTTGTAGGAACTATTCCTAAGAAAATAATTATAAAATATAACAAATATTAAAATATATTTTATAATTATAAAATACATAAATAAAAATTGTATTTTATAATTTATTATAATTATTGTATATTATTATTTATAATTATAAAACAAATATTTTAAAAGTTTTTAAGCTTTTTGCTTTTGCTTTAAAATGTTTAGCCACTAAATTGAAATTTTAAATAACATGAGAAAATGCTTCTTATAGTGTTAATTAAAAAAAAATACATATGATATACCTGACAATATGTCAATTATATAAAATCTGTGTAATTAAAAACTAGAGAGAAATACACTAAAATATTTCATTGGACTGAATGTTTTGCTGAACAAGCATGTGTAATTTACTGATTGTTTTCTACTCAATGCCATTTATTCAGGCTAGCAACAGGCTCAGTCTGCCCGCAGACAGTGGTGGTCTATTGGACTTTAAGGGGATGACTCAGCTGGGATGAACACCCTTTTCCCCCACCTTTCCTCTTCTTCCTATCTGTAACTCCACCAGCTATCATATGACCTTGAGGTTGAAGCCATGTGTTAGAGATGGTAGAGCAGAAAGATGAAGAATCCTGGATCCCAGCCAACTTTGGGGAGTGTCACAGTAGCCCTGGGATGCCTGCCTTCTTTTACATGAGAGGTTTGTTTAAGCCACTGGAAGTGAATCTGTTTCTAGCAGGTAAGCATGGTTCTTAATTGACACAACATTAAAAATTTTAGGTGGGGCCGGCCCGGCAGCGCAGTGGTTAAGTGTGCATGCTTGGCTTCAGCAGCCTGGGGTTCGCAGGTTCGGATCCCGGGCACGCACTGACGCACCGCTTGTCAGGCCATGCTGTGGCAGCGTCCCATATAAAAGAAGAGGAAGATGGGCACGATATTAGCTCAGGGCCAATCTTCCTCAGTAAAAAAAAAAAAAAAAAAGCGGATTGGCATCAGATGTTAGCTCAGGGCTGATCTTCCTCACACACACAAAAAAATTTCATGCAACTATCTTAAAAGCTTATATGTCTCCCACTTAAAAATCTTTCCGATTGTTCCTCATTGCTTTCAGTAGTGTCCAAATGCTATATGATATATAAGGTCCTTCTGATTTGTTCCATGCCTACTTCTCCATCCTTATCTCTCACCATATCCTCATACTGAAATTTACTTAGGTTTTCTAAATGCACCAAGTTTTCATGTCTCTATATTTTTGTACATGCTGCTACTTCTGCTTTAAATAATGATCCTTCAAAGTGTGGTTCCCCAGTACAGTATCAGCATCACCCGGAAACTTGTTAGAAATGCAAATTCTTGGGCTCCACCCCAGACCTTAAGAATCAGAAAACTCTCAGAGTGGGGCCCAGCAATCTGTGCTTTAACAAGTCTTTCAGGTGATTCTGATGCACAGATAAAGTTTGAGAACCACTGGCTTAAAACAACCTTTCCCTCTTTTTCCATCCAGTTAACTCCTACTCACCCTGATGAGGTTGTGCCATCAATTCCTCCTTTGGGAAGCCTTCCCCACTGTCCTACCCCACCACTCCCAGATCTAAATTAGCTGAAACTTTGTGTTTCCAGAGCATCTTGCATGTCCCTCTATCAGAGAGGCTATCACACTGTGTTCTATCTTTCTAGTTGCTTATCTCTCTCCTTTCTAGACTAAGTTTTTTGTTATTCTTACCTATATCCCTGGTACCAAGCACAGTGCCTGGAATATAAAACTATCAATAAATGATTACTGAATGAATTAACATTGCAAAAGCCTGATATAGTCCCATCCTAGCCCACAAAAGTCTATTTTAACTCATAATATGGCTTAACAATAACACTAATCTCTCAAATGCCATTTATATATGTTTCAACTGTGAACTTGAAATTTACCATGCCAGGAAAACAACTACCTTAGCAAGGCAATATTCTAGCTGAATAAAAACTATATATTTGAGCTTCAAGGTGAACATATGGAAGAGCTAGGCAGGTGACACACCCAGAGATGGCATGGAAACTCCAAGCTCCTTCCCACATACCTTGCCCTATGCATCTCTTCCATTTGGCTGTTCCTGAGTTGTATCCTTTATAATGAACTGGAATTCAAGTTGGGAGGTATACAAGCTACCTGTGACCATGAGGACAACAGATGATCACTGAAGTGGTAGAGCAGGAGCACAAGACACCTGGTCCCTCCTGGCATCCTTGAGCCACCGCACTATTGCTCAGCAGCCTACTTCTGGACTTCTTTTTGCATGAGAAAAATTAACCCCTTACTGTCTTTGTGAATTTGTCATTGAAGCCAAAAGCAATTCTAATCGAGTGGTTATTTTTTTTTTTTTTTTTTTTAAA